CCTTCGCTTTTTTTATTGCATCAGTTATGGTTGTGCTTTACAGCTCGAGCTCTACATTATTTCTTCTTCTCTATTCTTCACTGATATTATCCTTAATTGATCCAAAGATTTAACTCAATATTTTTCTTTCAAATTTTAAAAATTTATTTTTATCTGATTTTCTTATTGGCCATGGTCCTGCTCCACAGAATTACTGGACGGATCAGTGTAGTATATAATTGCKTTTTTAGTTCTTTAGATAATGATCAGGGGCTCAATCCAAAATAAATATTAGCTACCTACTTAAGAGGACGTTATACCCGCATGTGTTGTCTCCATCATCTTACAAGTGCGTAACAGCGTATCATAGCAAATTTTATTTTCAGTAAAACACGTGTARCTCTGTTAGTTATAAATTTAGAGTGAAAAGACCTCTAATAAAATTTCAAGGTAAGATAATTATCTAGACAACCTCATAAGCTTTTTATCATATTTTAATTTTAAAGCGAGTTATAAGTATTTTAAGAAGTAAAAACTATTTACAATTTTAAAATACTCATAACTCGCTTCAAAATTATAATACAGTAAACCTCTCTATAACGAACACTCTATTAAACGGAATCCTCCTTATTATGGAAAATGTCAATAGACCTGATGCAAATAATAAATGCAATTACTATCTTTCTATGACGAACAATTTATAACAGAAAAAATGTTTGATCCCAAGCAATTCCATTGCGGAAATGTTTTACTGTACGATAAAACGCTCACGAGGCATAGGCGTAACTAGACCTTAAAGTTAGGGGGGGGGCTGAAGCCCTAACATATTTAATATATTTAACAAATGGGGGGCTCTGCCCCCACCCCCCCCCTTATACTTATTCCTTAAATCATAACATTATTTTATTATTATAATTTTTGTAGTGTGTATCGTGTATGGCATGTATAAAACAGATTATAAAAATGTGGTATTGAGTTAGGTTAACATTAAAATAGTAACATATTATTATTATAACATTTTTTTACGAATAATCGTACGTCTTTTACGTCAATTTTTGTGTTYAGTTTATTGACAACTTCTAAGTAGTATTTATATAGTTAAAAATACACGAAATGATACGTATTACGTCACAGGGCCATTACACAACAATTTGATAACCAAAAAAATAAATATTTTTCCAAGATATTAATAAAAAAAAAGATATTTAAAATTTAAAAAGATAATTAAGTTTAAAAACGTAGCTTCCGTTGGTGGGACTAGGTATTTTTACAGGGGGGGGCAAAAATATGTTTTGGGGGGCTTAGCCCCCCCCCAAGTCCCCCCTAGTTACGCCTATGCCACGACGTTGTCTAGATAATAATATTATCTTTAAATTTTATTAGAGGTCAATTCACTCTAAATGTTAAGTTAACCAGAGCTACATGTGTTCTGCTGAGCGTACAATTTGCTATGTTACGCACTTATAAGAGTATAAGACGGAGACAACACATACCTACGGCCATACGGGTATCAAGTATTTATTGTAAATTATCACGCTATATACAATATCACCATATTAGTTTATTCATCAATTTGTAGTATAAGATTGATCATGAAATATTTTAAATACATGTAGCATTATTAATACTGTCTTTAATTTTTCACTCTAATATTAAATATTTTAAATTTAGACAAATTTTGTTAGTGAACCTCACATTTAATTTTAAAATGCAAACTTATATTTCTAGTTACATAAACTATATATTTGTATGTATTATAATATAAAAGTAAGTTGTTATTTATAATCATTTGAAGTTTAGTAATTTTCGTTACCCCTAATAATTTGAGACGCATTATCCTGCTCGTCTAAATTATTAATCATTATGAACAAAAGTCTATCGGCTAAAGGTGCTGCTTTAGATAAAGTTTGATAATCAATTCTCTCCAATATTGAAGCTAAATACACAAGATTTGATCTACTGAATGAGTTTGRTGATGTATAATATGAACTAACTATATTATAATATATTGCCCGATATTGGTATACTCCACATAACTTGAACTTTTCTTGGCCCTTAAAATGTTTTTAAGTTATGTTGTAGGCGTAGAAGGTAGAACTGAAAAAATATCTAAATTTATTTTTATTTCCCTTTAAATTCAAATTATAGAGATTCAACTGTATGTATTTGAGTTAAAACGTGGTAATTTATAGCAGCAATTCTCAATTGGGGGGGTCGCCAACAATTATTTTAGGTCACCAATTCATGTGGTAAAAAAATTGTTTCACTTAGAATCTTATAATTAATAGTAAATGTTATAATATATATATATATATWTTTTGGACAGTCCGATAGTCGATAAAAACATTAAAAACGTACTATTTATTTATAATACAATTTAAGGCTAATTACAGATAATATAACGCGATGTTCAGAATATTTTTTCAGGGTTTCGTTAGTTGTATCGCAGAATAGGTATATGAAATGTATTTCATATATTCTGTGGCTGTATGTCGTACACCAGTTGGTACACTATTTGTACATATTGTACGTTTAATTCAATACCTAAAGTGGATACTGGATAACACACTAGGCGATTCTAACGCGCATCTCCACGCGTTTCGAACGTCGCAATTAATCGCCCAAATTTAAACATATACTTTTATATGGGCTTTTTCACACACGAAAATGAGACGCGCCGAAACGTTCATATTTAATTTTGAGCGTAAAACGCTGATGAACGCGTCGACACGCTTCTAATGTGTAAAACCGCGACGTTCGAAACGCCTAGTGTTATCCACTTAATAATTAAAAAATGAGTAAGCAAACATCTTCGTCAAATTGTTTTAAACAACCCTCAAAATAATTTATGATTAGCAAATCTTTCAGATATATTTTCTATTCTCAACGACCTAAATTGAGTTTACAAGGGCCATATACTAATATTTTTACATCAAACTATAAACTAGAAGCATTTCTTAACAAAATCGAACTATGAGAAAAAGAGTACAAAAGCTTACGTTTGATATGTTCCCATCCTTTTTTTGAATGGTGGAAAAAAAAATAATAAATGAAATGCAAAATATTATTGCGATTCATTTATTAAAACTAAAAGAAAAATTTCTTAAATATTTTGATCTAACTAAAGATATTCGTCCAAACAGTTTATGGGTTATTAATCCATTTATTAAATCAGAAATAAATAAATTATCATCATTAAATGAAGAAAAATTAATTGAGTTATATTCAGACAAAGGGTTGGAACAGATTTGAAATAGTAATAAAAACATAAGTAAATGTTGGATCAAAATTCAATATGAGTATYCTGTATTAACAGAGAAAGCTTTAAAAAAGTTAATTTCTTTTTCAACATACTCTTATGCGGAGCAGGATTTTCTACTATGACTACAATTAAAACTAAATCGAGAAATTGGCTGGATATATCGTCAACAATGACAATAAGTCTATACAAATCTGTTGAGCCAAGGATTGACAAAATTATTTCAAATCAACAGCAAAAGAATCTTTAAATTAAAAAAAATATTAAAATGTACACAATATACCTTTTTTTGTAAAATATGTACACAAATAAATACAATAATAACAGTTTAATTCAATTTTTTAATGCTTACATTACAAAAGGGTCGTTAGACATCTTGGTGGCATTATACTCATTATAGGGGGTCGCAAACTCAAAAAGGTTGAGAACCGCTGATCTATAGCGTAGATTATACATATCTTTCATTTAACAACATTTTAGCTTAACTCTTGCTTCTTAGACATCTACATAATATTCTCTTTACTCAAAAAAATTAAAATCTAATAATATCAAATTATTTTGGTATAATTAAATAAACTTAGTTTTTCGTATGATACATATTTGGTTTAATTTTTAATTTCCAATCAATAACATTTTTAAAGAAAAATAACAATTTTAGCATATAAAATCTAGTATAAAACACTTAAAATTAAGTATCTAATTTAAATTATAACAAATTAAAATTTATCTTTAAAAACAATAAATATCAAATATAATTATATAGTATACAAAAAAGTTAAGCTATGTCAGTGTATTGATTAACACTGCTAACAAATGTCTTTGTTCGGATGTTAAGTGAGGAGTAAAATCAGATTCAATTGTACCTAAGCAGGTAGTTTCACCAAGTTGGTATGCCTTAACCAAAGAACGGAGAAGACGGAACATTATATCTGATATATAAGAAACTAAAATAATAAGAATGTGAAACATTATGTTAAATGTATGATAATTAATAAAGATATTAGTATACAACTTACCTGGAGAATCAAAATTTCCATTAATCCACATGTATTTCTCTAATACTGAAGCTAAATCACTAGGCATTTTTTGGCGAGTGGGTTTTAGTATAAGTAGTAAAAATACCCGTGATATTTCACATCTAAAATTTATTTTAAAAAATTTCTTAAAATATTAAGTTTAAATTAAATTAAATATATACCTGAATAAAATATCATTATAAATGCCGATGGTTTCATTGTCTATGAAAGAAATAGTATTTGCTATTTCTGTGAATGTTAACAAAGCACCTTCATAATCTTCTATAAAAAGTAACATTTGCATTAATTACAACACAATTCACCCAATTTAAAATAATAAAATATTCTCTAAATAAAGAACAAATAAAAATACCAGAAAGAATTTGAATGGAAGTTATTTGTTCAAGGATAGCCAATTTAAGTGTATGGCTTTCATGAGGCACATCAATCATACTACTTCCGATAAAAGCCGCATCGTCTAATTTACCTAAACATACAAGAGTTTCAGCTGTTTCTAGACGAATCGAAGTTTTCAAAATATTTTCAAAGGGATTCCCTTGCCAACTATCCTCGGCATGTCGCATTTCACTTAGTCCAGCCTAAAGGATTAAAAATATTAAAAATAATTTTACTATCAATTAATTAAGAACTTATAGCTCAAATAAATATCTAACATGTAAATGTTCATTATAAGGAGATATCAAACCAGATGATTCAGTCTTCTTAAATTCTGAAAAAAACTGGCGGGCTGCTTTTTGATGAGCGAGACCTTGTTCACAGTTGTGACCCATCGACTCTTCACATTTAGCCACAGCTTGCCAACACAATGCAGCATAATCATGTTTATCATTTTTTTGACAAAAATTAGCTAGTTTACCTAAAATATAAAACAAAATATGTTAAAAATGTTCCTTAATAGGTATTTAAATAATAAATGTAAGTAATCTTACCGAATTGATCACTAGGCTCCAGAGTATTTAGCTTTCTAAATAATTTTCTAAAAAATAAAAATGAGTAATTTAAAAAACACGAAAATGGTAAAATAAAACTGTGAAGTATTACTTACTTTTTTGTTTTATTTAGTATAATTTTATAATGGTGAATAATCTCTTCGGGATTATTGAAATTAGCCATTTTATAAAACTAATAACAAATAATAATAATATTAAAAAATAAAATTAAACTATCAAATATCAATGGACTTTTATAATAGCAATTTAACAGTAATTTACTATGTGTCTATGTATATAAATTATATTTGTTGTACAACTTTAAATAATAAAATAGGAAATTGGTATAAGATTGCCGTTATTTTATTAAGTTAATAAGTTYATAACTTACTAGATAGTATATAGATGGTAAATACTAAATAGACAACTAAAAAACTGTGTGAGTAAATAGGCTTGATTGTAAAAAGTATTAAATAAAAATGATAATATGTTATCATTTTGTTATCAAACTCGAATATTTTTTATTTCTAAAATCAGTTGTTATCATGGAATACTCGAARAGGTAAGACGTGGTCACGGGCCACGGCATCACAATTTGAATTTTATTTTTAATGACGTATAGAACTGTTCAGTTAGTTAATCATGGTATAGAACTATAGAAGACGTGTACTCTGTTGTCCGTAGTGTACACTGTACAGAATACAGACCGACTATGCCGAGTCTGTGAAACCGTTAATCGCAGGCCACGGCCATTCGCCAATGTAGACAATGTAGTAGAGTACTATAAAAAAAAAATATATACTACTAATTACTACAATATTTTTTTTGTTATATGATTATCTATGACTACAGTCCACAATTATATTATTATTCATGTATTATTACTTATTGTATCATTTGTATCAGTATAATATAATATATTTTATGTCAGTGGCTAACAATTCACGTAAATAATAGAAAGATCAACAAACGTGAATGTCATATGACGTATAAAAAAAGTAGTAGGTGTCGCAAATATTGTTATTTGTTAACCACCTTCACTTTATGTTTGAAAATAATGATGAAATAATTKATTTGATTATTTAATCTTGAAATGCTTAGATAATAGCTTACAACTCTCAACTTCTAACGGCTTTCTAATCAGCTTGTGATGAATACGATCATTGGTTCGTAAATCGTAATATAAAACATTATTATAATGAAATATATTATTGTGTAATTAACTGAAACATAAAGATAATAATATACCATTAATAAGAATTCTTGTTAATTATAATTTTTATAATCAGAGTAATCACACCGATATTCATCAGATCACTGCATCACCGCAAAGAATTAAATAGGTCATCTTTTCGAAGTAAAAACATTTTTTTTTAGTCTTGAGTTTTATTTCAGTGTTCAGTCATTAATCTCCAATAACCTAACCAATATCAGGTACCTTTATATATTAATATGGCCGAAAAAGGAAAAATTGGAATCATTGGAAGGTAAAAACAAAGAATATTATATTATTTAATATTTTCTTATAAATCGAAAACTATTGATTTTCTCAAATCTTTTCTATACCATTATCAAAATGTTCAAATTGTATTATTTTTACTGTTTCTACTATAATTTTTAATTTATAAATAAATATTAAGGATGCAATAATATAAGAAAATATGCATTAATTATATAAAGATATTTTTAATTTGCAGTGGTCTAATAGGCCAAAGTTGGGCTATGTTATTTGCAAGTGCTCGTTACAATGTAACCATCTATGACATTAACTTAGAGTTAGTGAATACAGCTTGTGAGAAAATTAAATCAGAATTAAAAACAATGGAAAAAAATGGAATTCTAAGGGGCAATATTACTGCTGAACAGCAAATTGAACTTATTAAAGGTACTTGACAAATTGTATTGATTTAATTGGTTATTTAATTGATTATATGTTTAATAATATTTATGTTAAAATTTGTACCAATGTTTAATGTACAAATTTACATATAAATTATAGACACAAAACAAACTAATGTAAATAATAATATGTAAATGTCTATTTTCATTTGGAAGTTTGCTAGTGAAATTAAACTAAGTAAGCATTTTAAACAATGTTWATTATATTAATTATAAACAAACATTTAAATATAAATAAAATGACCTCCATGAAACATTTTAGAATCTGATACAGTAATTTGTATTAAACAGGTGTCGTTAAATTGGAAGAAGTTGTAGAAGGAACAATTCTTATTCAAGAATGTATACCAGAAGTATTATCTTTGAAGCAACAGTTGTATGACCAAATTGATAAAATTGTTGGCTCTCAAACTATTATTTCCAGTTCAACTTCTACATTCTTACCATCAGTTCTTTCTGAAAAAATGGAACATCGTAATCAATTAATTGTTTCACATCCGGTATGTAAAATTAGTATTATTTTAATTTTAAATAAAGGTAACCTATTGTGTATTTTTAAAGGTTAACCCACCATATTTTGTGCCACTCGTAGAAATTGTACCTTCGGAATGGACTGAAGATTGGGTTATTAAGAAAACAAGGGCAATTATGGAAGAAATCAAACAGTCCCCTGTAACTCTCGCTAAAGAAGTACCTGGATTCGCTTTGAACCGCATTCAGTTAAGAACTTAAAATAAAATATGTACGAAAATGTAATTGAAATTAAAACTTAATAATCTAATAGGTATGCTATATTGAATGAATGTTGGCATCTTGTAAATGATGGAGTACTTAATGTGAAAGATGTTGACACAGTCATGTCTGAAGGTCTCGGCATGCGTTATGCATTTCTTGGTCCATTAGAAACTGCTCATTTAAATGCTGAAGGTATGTAATGTTTATTTAATTTTGTAATTGAGTAATCTATATTGCATATTARTGACAAATCTTTTAATCATAGTTCATATATTAAATTATTTCATCTAGGAACTCACTACTTACACTATCACTAATCAGTATATTATATTATTAATATGTCATCTTCATCCTAATAATATTCTATAGTTATACTATAACTTAAAATTAGTTTAATTTTTTTTGTAAAATTAATTTCATTATGTTTTTGTTATATTCTCAAAAATTAATTTCAGGTTTTGTGAACTATACAGAGCGTTATTCTAACTCTATGTATGGTGTATGCCAACATTTCAAGCCATCACCTAAGTTTGAAGGACCATTAGTAAAAGAAATTGGAGATCAATTAAATACCCAAACTCCATTGGAAGACCTCCCAAAACGTAGATTATGGAGAGATCAATCTTTGATCAAATTGTCACAACTTAAAAAGTATAATAATTATTAAAATACAGTGAAAACTCTTTATAACGAAACTCGTTATAACGAAAAACTCTATATTACGTAAATAACATTAGGTTAACTTATAATGGTTGGTTTGATTTAAAACCTATTAATTACTCTCTATTACAAAAACTCTCAATAACGAAATAAATCACATGGTCCCTTCAGATTCGTTATAGAGAGTTTTCACTGTATATAATATGCACAATATTATGCAGGTATAAAAAAAAAACCATTATACATTAATAATTGTGAAACTAATAGTAATATAAATATTTACATATTATTATATAAATTACTGATAGAAGATATATTTTTGGAATAAAAAAAATATACATATTAATTTGTTCATTTGATGCTTTATAGTGTTTTGAGTAAGTTATACCAATTATAATGTATATTTGTTACCGTTTCTGTCAAGGTTATCGAGTATTTATTATTATATTACCTATTGATTTCCYACTAATAGTGCATGCAATATTTGTTTTATTGGTCATTAAAGCGGGTACAATAGTACCCTACTTTCATTCATATTTAATTTAATATTTTTACATTATAGTATTATGGAAGCAAAAATTAATAACATTAGTATCTAAATCAATCAGTTATCTAAAATCCACCAAAACCTTATAAATCTGCCAATATATAGACTAAATAATCAATTGAAATTGATTAATACTAAAATAGACCATTTTTAGACCAGTTAAGAATTTTATGTTGTAAATTGTAATATTAATTTTTTTTTAATTTTCTATTATAAATATTAAGATTAATTTATTTTCTTGTCAAATTACTATCTYATTAATAATATAATATATTGAATAATATTAAAGTATTATAGGTGGTAAATAAAATTTTTAATATTGGTGGTTCCAATAATCATCATGACTTTTAGTCAAAATTAAATGTTGAAAAAAGTTTAAGCTACAGACGTACAATTAATTGTTATTAACTGTATTGTTATATGTCAATTACTACAGGAGACTGTTATGATATGGATTTATTAAACCAAATCTTTAAATATCTTCAGGCGCTGGCTAGGATGCTACAGCATCCCTTATCCTAAARTATATTTGATCTGATTTGTTTTTAATCTTATATTGTACAATTTTGTTTGAATGTTTGTTGTAATACTTGGTACCTATTTACGTTTTTATGTATTTTCAATGATTTATGAAAACAAAATAAAATATTTTGATATTTTTAAATAGTCCTACATATTTTAAATTAGSACTTAAAATTATATAGCATCCGATGCACTTTTTTACCTGTCTGCGCCTGAATAGCTTTAATTATCATTAAAAATCCGAGTACAAATCAAAATCACTATTGTCTCTATTGATGAATTTATACACTTATTTGGTAGGTAGTAATAAATAAAGTGATGATATAATTTTTTATGATTAGTAAAATGTTCTTTTAATTGGAAATAAGGAAAATGTTTTTCAGGACAATACATATTAATATATAAGATTCCTAATTCCTAATATACCTAAGAAAGAGTATCATATTGATCTAGGACTMTCTTTTTCTAATGAATGTCTTAATTTTTAAGCCATTTAAAGAGCATTGGTATTGATGCTCCCAAAACGATTTAACATATTATGTGTACACTGTACGTTTATAAGACAAAATATTAAATAAGTATTTATATATATATATATATATTATGTTGATATAGCACTAAGAATGTTATTATGTACACAGTACACCTATAAGTAATTGTTATACAGAACATTCGTTTACGATATTACAAAGAATTAAATCCTACCTTAGATCTTGTTTTGGAGAAGAAAGACTTAATAACTTAGCAGATATAACATATAACATCCAAAAAAGATGACAACGATATACCTAATTGAAAAGTTTTCTCACTAGAAATGTAGAAAAAAGTGTTGATATGAGTTTTAATTTAGCAAATTTATTTAATGCATTTGTATTTTTATTTGTGTTGATACTTCAAAGTCAAGTATCTTCTAAAGTTATTTTAATATTATTATTATTTATTAGTAATATTAGTATGAAATGTTAAAATTCATAATTTTTTTTGTTTCATTAAATTATTTCTGTTTTATAAAATTTGAAAGTAATTATATTTTATATTTCCACGGGGAGGGGGAAGGGCAAATACCCAAACACGTCTCCCTAAAATACGTAGCGGTTACCCTCACTTAAATAGTTATGCACACATTTAATATACCTCATTTACATTCAACCCATTTTCGTGGGAATGAGCAAGAAAGCAGACATGAAAATGGACAGCACAAGGGTATGTAAACACGTCACTCTCGCTGACCATCATGTTCCTCGCATTGTCGCTGCCCGTTGCTCCCTCCAAGAGTGGGAAGATGAGCAGTGCGAGCAGCAGGTTAACTAGCCAGTTAGGTTGCACATAATAGCAGGACAATGTAAACACTCACTGCCTACGGGATACGACGCTGCCACTGAAGTATTTTGGTATAGCCTCGCRACACGAGGGCGAGGAGCAGCATCAATGGCTGAATGTTAATGAGGTAATAGGTACGCTCTGAAAAGTTCCTGCCCACGCCTATGGTTTTTATGGCTTAAAGATAAAAGATAGGATATAATACCTCTGACTTTTTTAAATCTATTAATTACTGATATATTTGTAATATATTGTTTTAAATATTATACAGCCATTATAATTTATAATATATTGAAATAAACTGTTTCCTTTTAATTAATATGTCCATCTTAATGTCCATTATAGATTTTTAGCACAGTCATTTTTATGGTTTTAACCAAATATAAAATATCGGTCTAAAATTATATTCAATCTTAATGACTATTTTAGTTCTGTGACCAATAGCAACTGTATAATAAATAAAAATATATTATTTGTTCGTGAAGTAATATAAACTAATATCAAATCCCAGAGTTTTTTTTATTTTCATAAGAATCAATTATTTTTTTAAATAAAATACAGTCTAGGTATGCTACTTTTACAGTCTTTAGCTTTGTATAAGTAAAATAATATTTAAAATCAGTCAAGTAGTTTTCAAGTATCCATTTAAAACGAACAATTTTACCACTCTATAGTATTTGTATGTAAAGATAAGCATAMATTGTCATTATTGATGAATTTACTTATTATCTTGAAGTAGTGTTTTATCTTTTATTCAAGTGAAAACAAAAAAACATGTAACTGTCAATTGTCTTATTAAAATATTGCTTGTTGTGCATTGTTATGATGCTATAATATCCATATAAATAGGTTAGGTTAGGTTACCTAACTACTCGGGAAACCATATTTATAATAAAGTAGCTGTTATAATTAATCTATGGTGTGTCATGCTCATGGATACACATAATGTCCTGCGAAGATTTATCAATTGCGATATCTCCTTAATAATAGTAATGGATATATCGAAATTCTGGTTTTGTAATAGAATTCATAAGGGATAAAGAACTACAATTATATTTCATGTTTTAATTTATTTTAATGTTTTGCTAGAGTTAAAAAATATTTTTTTTATTTAATTATTTTCAAAAAAATTCACTGTAGCCATTTTGTAGTGTTTATTTTTTACCAAAACATAAAAAAAAAATTTTAAAAATTAATAATTGTAGTTCTTATCCCTATGAGTTTTATAACAAAACCAAAATTTCTTTATTCTTATCTTGATTATTTCGTGAGATCTCGCAATGGGTAAATCCTCGAGGGGCACTCTGTATATTATAATGATATTATAAATATTATAAACGATATAGGTACATATATGTGTCGTGGTTTAATTATAACAATTACAAAATAGAACGATTAACGAAGAATGACGAACATTGTCATMAAGTGTCAACTGCGGAATGCAGACAGCCAACATTATATTATATTACCTCTACTCGTGTGTCGTGTATTCCTAATAACAATATATTACTGCATTAGCCATTAGGTAATAATTTACGTGGCACATGGTGATTATTTATTATATCTTCTGTATAGTACAACTATGATGGCAAATCTACAATAACGAGTAATAATAATTAATTAATAGTAAATTAGGTATATCAGTACAGGTATATTATGGTATTTAGGTATATATAGGTAGGTAATACTACTAATACTCCTATACTTGATTTGGATGATTTAAATGATTTAATTTGCGTGAAGACGCCTTCGCCCTGCTAAAACTTACACCAATATCTTTAATCGTTTATTATCGAAGTGTGCAAAGTGCAAAAGTAATCGATTACGTTGAACACGGACAATAGTTTGATATTAATGTAGTTAATACTTTAGTAGTTTAATGTATGTGCTTTGTTGACTGTTTCAAATTTTCAAAAAAGAATAATATCCAGTCCGAATTCATTTGATACAAACTAAACTGAGTGAGTTGGATAGGTCGTATTTGGTTTCAAAAATATTTTATTGTGACGACTTAAAGTTAAGAATAGATGTTATACCACTTATATACCTATTACCTAYGCTATTCCATCACCATGGTCCATGATAGTTATTTCTATTTTTAGTCTTATTATTATTTATTAGTTATTTTAATTAATAATTATTAACTCAAAACTTACCGAAATGTATGTTCAGCAGTTCAAATTTTGTATTTCCTTTAAAATTAGAGTGAACTGCGACCTATTATAAAATGTAAAGGTATAAGAACATATAATAAGTGTTTCTCATTGTTAGGTTTGGTAAAATATTTAAATTTTTAAGTGAGTTACGTGCTTATAAAATGTTAATATATTATTTAAAAATGCTCTTATATATTATCATAATTCTCTTAAAATTAAAACATCGTAAAAAACAATGAATGTTCTAAAATTTAAGTTTGATAAAATAGACTACGCGCAGATCAGCCGGTTCAGGTATACACAATTACATAGATCATTWTGATCAATCATAGTCATCTAGATCTAATGAGTAAAAATGATCTCCCAATATGTCTAACATGCGGTGCAGATCTAACGATTAAAGATATAATGACCGAAATTCATAAAAAATGTTMCTTTTATACCTAAGATTTGAAAATTTAATACAAGGCTCCTAAAATATTTTTACAATAGCAGTTGAAAAATACAAGAAATG